TATTCAATAACAAGTTGGGGCCCCATTTTAGACAAATCGTAAAGGAACGGGAGGTACAGATCTCTATGGACAGATTTGTTGTGCGACAGAGGTCCAGTGACTCAAGCTGGTCCTAGTGGCATTAAAAGAAGGGAAGTAACCCCGGAAAAGGACTTGCTACCTCAAGTCCTAATGGAAGGGGATTCCCCTTCTAAACAATAAGTTCGACACTCTCCCTTCCTCCCATCCTATCAATCATCACCAGATCTTCATTAATGGTAAGTGACATGTATTCTATTGTTAGTAGAGTACTACTAACTGTGTATGTCTTCTTCAGTTTGTGTGCATTAAACTTAATATTTCATGTGGTAAAACTTTCTTTTTCATAGTACTTTTGGGTGTCTTACACGGATTAATTTGATTTCCATTATTTCTTATGGGGAAAATTAATTCGCCTTCCGATAATTTTGGCATACGATGAGCTCTCAGGAAGATTAATATCGTATACCGGGGGTCCAATGTATATCTATACACAACCGGGAAGTTAGCATGGGCCCCACTGTAACCATAAACAACTTTAACAAGAGCAGTCATCTAACACTTCTGTACCTTAATTAAGGCCAATGGAAAGACATCCCATTGTTGGATTTTGCTGGGTTATCCTATGTTAAATTCTTTACAATTTAGAACATATATAACCATTGTAAAAATATCAAATTATGTATAAGGCCTAAATTAAAACTAATATGAAGAGAAATCATTTTAAAGACAAAATATCACCTACATGGGGACAAAACATTGGCTTTAAAAATAAATGGAGAAACAATATGGTGATACCGAAGATGTGGAAAAAGACACTTGTGTACAATTCAGGACATTTATTAAAGGAGACGTTTTGCCACGAGTGGGCTTCTTCAGTCCTAAAATAATGATTCTGCCTACAAATAGCATCCTTTAACCATACTTAAAAGCAAATCTTGCCATCCCATAAAGCCCAAGTATCCACTTGCTGCTAAGTGGGCCGAGGCAACAAGTGCATCAGATTCGAGGAAGGGGAAAGTAGTTCTAAACTCTTGGCTCAAGAGCCCTTTACCAGAATTCATGGACCTCCCTTGAAGGGTCAAGTCAGAGTCTGCTGGAGCCCTTGGAAAAGTAAAGGCAGCACCATGAGTTAGAGACAAAAATTCGTTTAGTTAGCAAATAAGTTTATTTAGGCACAGATACACAGTACATAGTGTAAATTACCTAGGATAACCCACCTTCCCCCCCCCAAAAAAAAAAAAATTCAACGTGATTAATTTTCATTAGCCTTCAAATTCACCACAGTAAGGAAGAAAGTATTTAGGCACAAAATACGACGGTGGCATCGGCTAGTATTACAATAGGGGAAGCGCTAAACCTATAGGGAGTCATACAGCAGCCGGAGATGGTAATGGGAGATCAAGATTTATCCTAGAAAGTAGAGAACAAGACCAATTCCTAAGATCAAAAAAAAGAGCCTCACCGGACTCTACGAAGCTTCCTGGAAGAAAGTTTTATCAAGTAAACTCTAATATTACACCACACTTCAACTCACGGTTTCTGGGAGGTTCGAACCATGTTGTCTCTTTAGTATTTAAAATTGTGGACAGGTGCACCTGTGCTTAAGGTCAACGTCAGGTTGTGCTGCAGGAAACATACAGTTCAGACGGAGGTCCGCCAAGCTCAACACTTCCAAAACTTGGCGGGTACTGAGTGTTGTGACCATCATACCTGCAACCTTAACTTCACGTACCTCACCCATCATACCCTACTGTATGTAATGACCAAATAACCTTATAATAATAATAATAATAATAATAAATAAAATAATAATAATAATAATAATAATAATAATAATAATAATAATTATAAATTTTTATTATTATTATTATTATTATTATTATTATTATTAATTATTATTATTATTATTAAATTTATTATTATTATTATTATTATTATTATTATTATTATTATATATTATTATTATATTATTATTTATATTATTTTATTATTATTATTATTATTATTATTATTTTCATTAATTATTATTATATTATTATTATATATTATTATTATTATTATTATTTTTTATATTATTATTATATTATTATTATTATTATTTTTATTATTATTATTTTATTATTATTATTATTATATTATTATTATTATTTTATTATTATTATTATTAATTATTATTATTTATTTTTTATTATTATTATTATTATTATTATTATTATTATTATTATTTATTATTATTATTTATTATTATTATTATTATTATTATTAAATTTTTATTATTTTTATTATTATTTATTATTATTATTATTATTATTATTATTATTAATATTATTATTTTATTATTTTTATTTATTATTATTATTATTATTAAATTTTTATTTATTATTATTATTATTATTATTATATTATTTATTTTTTATTATTTAAATTTTTAACACGGCGTCCCCCACCTTGGTAAGCGTTTAAACGTGAAGTTAAGCAAACTTTGAAATATGAAAATTTTTTTATATACTTGATTGTTTAAAACATGTAAGCTTTTTGCAAGGCTAAATTAACATATTTAAAAGTACATAACACAAATAATAAAGCAAAATGCAAAACGAACTAGAAAAAAAGGTTCCGCTTCACACGGCGATGTCTAGGTTTGATTCCCATAAGGCAAATATTGGGCTTTTTCTTTACACCGGTTGTCCCTGTTCACCATCAGTAAAAAGGGATTTGGGTGTTACTAACTGTGTGGGTCGTGTGAAAATATTTTAATTTTTCGAAACTATAGTGCCAATAGTGTTTAATGTGTTGATGGGTCAAAAATGTATTTGAAAATAGAATAGAACAAGAGTTCCCTCTGTGCCTGCGGGATGCGCGGGGAGAGGTCGACCAGGGCATGGAGGCGGCGAGAGTGTTTTGAATGTAGTAAAGAGGCTGTGAAAACATGGGACCAGGAAATTGGCATTCACGGCGGCCAAAGGATTAATATAGGCCTCACTTTATAATAGGAAGTGTCGTAAAATGTTCCTGGGGAAAGAGTAGGGAACGTGATTTAGGACCACCGTAATAAAGTGGTAAAATGAGTGAATAATGGTAGGACCAGGGGTGACTGGCGCGTCACCATGGACAGTGTCCCGGGGAAAAATACCCGTGGTTTAATCATCACTCATCTGTCTCAGATCTTAATGAAGTGGCCTCCAATGTGTATAATAATTATGAGACATTAAATCGTCTTGTGAATTGCATTGTAATCAATGATAATAACACTAAGTTAAGAGAATGCGTGAAGTGAAATAAGTCACCTTGCTCCGAGTGAACACGTTAGACCACGTTGTTCCCATCCCGAGGATAGTGAAGTTTTTATGGAGTCACGACTTCTAAACCGGGACAAACCAACGGATACCTCGAACCGTGTCGGTGTAGCAGGACATCGAAATGAGATGGTGAATGGAGGAAATATGGAGCATCAATTACCCACAGTTAAGTAACACTTCTAGTTATAGCAGACTGATACTGGCCAGTTAGGTATGTTGTAATTGGATAGGTTATGGATGATCCAGCTACATCAAGTGACCACCAGAGAATATCTGGTAAGTGGAGGGATTATGTACAAATGTTTTTTCTTTGATGAATATATCCATGTGTAACTTACCCCTCCCCCCTTCATTCAGTTAAACTAATATAATCTATACAGTCCACAATTAAATAGCAGCGCCGTACTTGTGGGTGCTATCCAATTTATAAGATAAGATAAGATATCGTTCGGATTTTTAACCCCGGAGGGTTAGCCACCCAGGATAACCCAAGAAAGTCAGTGCGTCATCGAGGACTGTCTAACTTGTTTCCATTGGGGTCCTTAATCTTGTCCCCCAGGATGCGACCCACACCAGTCGACTAACACCCAGGTACCTATTTGCTGCTAGGTGAACAGGACAACAGGTGTAAGGAAACGTGTCGAAATGTTTCCACCCGCCGGGAATCGAACCCGGGCCCTCCGCGTGTGAAGCGGGGGCTTTAGCCACCAGGCCACTGGGCCTGGTCTCGGATAGATATGGATAAGATTGTGAGGGTCAAGGGGGGCCACCTGCAGTGACCAGAGGTGGTTAAGTCTTCTCACATGTCTACACGGGGTGACTATGGTAAACAATATAGTTGTCTCCCAATGAGATTACTCGTATGCATGTAGTGTTGAGGTACGTACAAGTAATCATCCTAGAAAATTTTCCATAGGTTGCATCCTGGGATAAAACTGACCTAATTTGCCCGAAATGCTCAGCATAACAAGCGGCTTTCTATATACGTAGTAGTACGTCACTGATTTCAGTTATGGTCTGTATACCTGTAATAAATAAAGATATTAAATATTAATATATATACTGGCCAGAGAAATAGAAAATATTAAATATCCCTACTAATGGTTTAAGAAATATACAGGCGGGAGAAACCGAAGACCTGGAGAGTTACTTGGAAAAATTTCGGCGGGGAGTAAGGGGGGCTGGGGCCCCACCCCTGGTGGACAGAGGGAAAACCACTGTTGCCGGCGAAAAAACCAAGTCGAGCCAAGGCCCGGTGTTTGATCAGGCTGTCTTTTAGGTGTTTGGGTCCAGTGCCAGCTTGAAGACTGCCAGGGGTCTGTTGGTAATCCCCCTTATTGTGCTAAGAGGCAGTTGAACAGTCTCGGGCCCCTGACACTTATTGTATGGTCTCTTAACGTGCTAGTGACACCCCTGCTTTTTCATTGGGGGGAGGTGCATCGTCTGCCAAGTCTTTTGTTCGTAGTGAGTGATTTTCGTGTGCAAGTTTCCGGGACTATCCCTCTAGGATTTTCCAGGTGTATATAATAAAGTATCTCTCCCCCCTTTTTGCGATCCAGGGAATAAGGTTTGGGAAAACCTCAAGCCTCCCAAAAATTTTAGGTGTTTTATCTCCTTTTAAAAAACCGCCCGGGAAAATTTTTCCCCTGAAAATTTTCCCTAGGTCGGCAATTTCACCGGGCCTTGAAAGGTGCGTTAGTGTGCGCAATTTTCCCCACCTAGATAAACAAGTGACCTGAAGAGGGGTCATCATGGGCTTGGCCCCCCAAAGTTTTTGAACGTTCTCATTACCCAAAACCTGTCTTTTTCTCAAAGCAGATGCGATTGATACAATTTATGGCCCCTTAAAATTTGGGGATCCTCCGCATAAACCCCCCGGGGTCTTTGACGGGGGTTTTTTCGCTCTATTTTGGGGCCAGAATTTTTTTTTGTACTCTGATGAAAAATTTAATTTTCCCATGTTTACCATATTTTAGAAATTAAAATTTTCCCTCATCGTTGAATTTCATATTTTTTTTTCAGCCCCCCTAAAGATTTGGTTATGTCCCCCCTTTGGAGCTTTGAAAGTGTCTGCAATATTAGTTTAAAAATGTTTATTATGCACCCCATACCCATCCTGTGGGGGGGTAGTCAAAAGATTACGAGGTACATAATTGGCCCAGGGACTGGACTCCAAAGTTTTGCCCAGCTGGGGCAATTTTACAGAGGAAAATAAACCCTCCCCAAATTTAAAAAGGGTAAGAACCCCAAAATTTACAAAGGTAATGAACTCAAAATTTTTAAAGGTAATAAAACTCCGGGTTTTAAGCCCTGGTCACAATCTGAAAGTTAAAAAAGGTATTTCCCAGTTTAAAGAGGTATTTAAGGGTTCCGGGGGACGGGGCCCCCCAAAGTTTTTGATAGCTAAACTAGGTAAAAAGGGAAAATGAGCTCACAAGTTACAAATTAATGAATTCGTAAAAAGGTTTTACTTACTTTTTTATTTTTGGCTACAATCATGAACAAATTATAGAGAATAAACAATTCACATTTCCCAAACCCCCCGTCACAACTGAAATTTGATTTTATTGGTGCAAATATTGTTTTGTTGAGTAAACACCCCAACCACACACACACCACACACACACAACACACACACACCCCACACACACACCACACACACACACACACACACACACACACAACACACACACACACCCCACTTTATTTTAAATATCTTTATGCCCCCCATACCCATCCTGTGGGGGGTTAGTCAAAAGTTTACAAAGGTAATAATGGGCCCCATTGACTGGACCCCAAAGTTATGATAGTTTGAACATTTTTAAAAAGGGTAATAAACTCCGGGTAGATCGGGTTCACTAATCATGGCAAATTTTAAAAGGGGTAATAAAACAGCTTCACTCCTATAAAAAGGGTTTTAAAAGTCATGAAAAAAAATTAAAAAGTAATAAAACCCACTTTACGTCCACAACCGGGTCACAATTGAAATGAGTTATAAATAAAAATTTTTAAAAAGTGGATAAATACCCCCACACAAAGCGCGCGCGCGCACAAACCACACGAGGGCGCACGCAGGGACATGTGCAAACAGCGTAAAAATATATCAAACACAAAAGGGACCCCACACCCCCACACACACACAACCCACACACACACCCAACACCCACACCCCACAACCCCTCCACACACCCACACACAAAACCCTCACACACCCCCCAAAACACAAAACCCACACACACCACCCCACACCCACACACCCACAAAACCACACACACCCACACACCACACACACACACACAAAACCACACACACCCCCCACAAAAAACCCCACACACCCCCTAAACACACACCCACAAAAACCCCCACACACACACACACACACTCACACACACACACACACACACACAAAACACACA